GAGAAATGCAAATCAAAAACCACTGTGTGGCTATAATAAAAAGACAGATAACAAGCGTTGTTGAGGAAATGGAGAAACACACTGCTGATGGAAATATAAAATGGTGCAGCCACTTCAGAAAAGTCTGGCAATCCCTCAAAATTTTACATGTAGTTGACACGTGATCCAGCTTTTTACTTGTAGGCATATACACAAGTGAATTGAAAACATGTTTATGCAAAAACGTGTACACAAATATTCCTAGCTGCATTATTCATAATAGCTAAAAAGAAGAAACAACCCTATGATGGATAATTTTATGTGTCAACTTGGCTAGGCTATGGTGCCCAGTTGTTTGGTCAAATGCATCTAGATGTGTTGTGAAGGTATTTTTTCGATATTATTGACATTTAAATTAGTAGATGTTGAATAAAACAGATTAGGAACAAAGACTGAGGCCCCCTGAAGAAGAAGGAATTCTGCTTCCAGACTGCAACATAGAAATTCTTCCTGTTTCCAGCTTTTGTACTCAAGACTGCAACATCACCTCTTTCCTGAATTTATAGCCTGCTGGCATGTCTACAAACCAGGCCCCATAACTGTGTGAATCCTTAAATCTCTCTCTCCCTTCCCCTCCCCATTCTTTTTCTCTGAAAAACTCTGACTAATACAAACCCTTATTCCATCAACAGATTAATAGATAAATAAAATGTGGTATATCCATGCAATGGAATATTATTCACCATAAAAAGAAATGAAGTACTGACACATGCTACAACATGGATGAACTTTGATAACATTATGATAAGTAAAAGGAGCCAGACACACAAAAGGCCATATATTATATGATCACATTTATATGGACTGTCCAGAATAGAAAAAAATCATAGAGATAGAAATTGGATTAGTGATTTTTCTAGGCTGGGGGAGACAACAGTGGCGAGTGGAAGCTTAATGGATATTGGATTTCCTTTTGGGGTGATGAAAATATTCTGGAACTAGGTAGTGGTAATGGCTGCACAACATTGTACTAAAACCACTGAATTGTATACTTTAAATGAGCAAATGGTGTGGTTTGTAAATTATATCTCAACACAGCCATTATTGATAGAATAAATCATTTCTCTTAAATAAATAAACCACCCCTCCCATCCTTTCCCTCCACCAGAACTGCCTGGCAAAACCCTTCACCCCCAAATTCCAAGCTGCATTTTGTGGTAGTATTTCCTTGCCTTCAATGCTAAGTGAGATGATCATTTTAACAAATTTAAAAAAATAAAAATGCTACAGGTGAGGACTTCAGGGAACTCACTTGTGTTTTGATTCTAGGCCCAGATGCCACCTATGGAGGATACTGATGAGGGAGTGGCTTGGAACAGGATAGGCAAAAGTCTTTGTCCTCAGGGAAAAGAGAAGGCCCAGAACATACAGGAGTGATTTTGTGTTGGGTATCTTTTAAGGATTCTAATAGTCCAAACTCATCATTCTATAGAAGAAATCCATTCTTCCATCCTAGCTACTGACTCTCCAGGCCTTGCACATCACTTCCCCAACTAGTGTTCTGTGACTGGACTATTAGCCACTTGCTGCACATCTCTCTCCGTCCTCTCCCCTTGGGAATGCCAGCTACCTCTTATACATCAGCTCTGGTTGCAGTGGCTTTGAAAGCTCAAACCTATCCCTAAGCCTTATATGATTCAGAGGGGTTCTGAATCCTGATAAAGATGCCAAGAGCTTTTAGACCCATTTTCTGCTCCTGCTGAGTTGGGAGTTGGAGGTAGGGGTGGGTGAGGAGTCAAATTTGGGTAACCCTTTCCTACAGAACTTTGGTTCTGCATGAAGAAGAGGAAATTGATCCCCAAACACTACCTAGCAGTCAGGGAACAGGCAGCCTGGGGTACCATCTCAGATGACCAGTCCTTGGGAGATCAGTACTTTTAATGCGGAAGAGGTTCCCAGGGCCTCCACAGTCTCCTGACTGTCAACATTTCCAGTCTCTAGTCCTGTGAAGAGTAAAGGGCTGAAGTCTGGAGAATGCTTGAAAGAGGAAAGAGAGTTGGACAGATACGGCAAATGCTCAGTTTCTCCCAGCAGAGCAAAAGGAACAGGGAAATAAGAGACCAGAGGATTTAGTGACCTAAAGTGCCAGAGAGTCCTGGGGCTGGAAATAGAGAAGCAGGTGGGTGAGGGGGATCAGATGGCAGGGAACTCACAGGTCTATACTAGCCATGGGGAAACCCAGAAAAAGTGTAACAGCAGGGGCTCTGCCTTCAAGGAACATATGATAATTTAGTTGTGGGGTAAAAATTAATGCACTTGAAATAATTTGTAATTTGCTGCTAAACTGGTATTGACAAAAAAGGACTGTAGGAACTTTGAGAAGGACAGATCGTGTAGGTTGGCATCCTCTGTGAGCTGAATGGCTGGCTTAGGCAGTGTGTGTACCAAGGGATGTTATGCCCTGGCTACAGTGGCTACATTTTTTAAAGATGAGTATGCCCGAGTCTTGCATGGTTTCCTGGAGGAAGCATGGAGGAGGAAGTTTCATCATCATCACCATTTGCCAATCACTATTGTTATCAACAAGAACTACAGTAAACATTAGTTGAGCATCTCTCCCTGGGTATACATATTTGTTGGAGAGGCAGCGCAAACACAGAAATTATTGAAGGACTAGTACAAGATAGCATGTGCCAGTAGCAAAAAGACAGAGGGAAAAGTGAAGGTTGGGGAAGTGAGAGGCGGCTTCCTGGAGGAGGTAGTGCAGGCATATCTTGGAGATTTTGTGGGTTCAGTTCCAGATCATTGCAGTAAAGTGACTTGTAATATTATTGCTGGTGGAGGGTCTTGCCTTCAAGCACAATAAAGTGAAGGAGAACAAAACGAAGTATGCCTGTACTTGAGCTGACCCTTAAAGGAAGGGAAGGGTTTGGACTATAGGAAAAAGAGTGAAGGGGTGTGTAAATTACCTTAATAAGGCACAGAGGTGGGAGTGCACAAGGCAGGTATGATTAAATGAGAAAACCTACTGGACTGGAGCAACGGGTGTGTGATAGGGTAAAGTGGGCAATAAAGTTGGAGAGGCAAGTACTAGTGTGGTGATTATAGAGAGTCTTGAATGGCAGACAAAAGGAATTGTTTTGGAACAAAGTAGGAAAGCCTTGTAGATTTAGGTATTTGGGGAGTGATGAAAGCACAGGGAAGGAGAACAGACTAAAGGAAAAATAGTGGGATTCCACATTTTTCCTAGCTTCAATCTCCAGTGGTAGAGTGACCAACTCATCCTATCTCAACAAACTTGAGATGAGTTTGTCACCTTACTTGAATTCCATCTTGAGAATAGGTTCCTAAAAAGCTCCCAAGAAGTTCTGCATCATACACTGTTGGTGGAGAACCTATGCTAGTTGGGAAGTCCCAAACAATCAACACTATCTGTGGGGTGTTCTCAGATAGTGTTGAACCACCTTGTGAAACAGAAAAGAGGAAAGATCAGCCTGCTAGCCCAGCTGGTAGCACAGGTGCAGACTAAGATGCGGCAACTGTTTCAAAGGCAACGCCCTTTAGCAGTTGATTTGTCTCTGAATCAGCCCTTGGAGAAGGAGGCAGCAATTGCAGGGATTTTAAAAACCAACACGAAAACAAGACTAAGTCTTTCATTATTTTGGTGGCTGCTACTTGGCCACTCCTCACATGGATTCTTTTTACTAACTTCCTGCAGCAAAATGAGATTGGCACAGGCTCTGCTACATTTATATTACCATCAGGATGCAGATGTTTTCTCTGTGGTTTAGAATTATGCAAATGAAGGCATGAAAACAAAAGCTCAGTGAGGTGGAGAAGTATTGCTCTTAAGGATCCAGGCTATTTTCAGGGCTCTTTAAGACACCCCTCTTAGTTTTTATTAACAGCTCTCTTGGCTCCTGTCCAGTTTATTTATATTCTGGCACCTCTTCAGAACCTTCCTGCCAAAAACCTGTAAGTTCATTCTAAAGTTCCTATACTGGCCTCATTTTGCAAGTGGAAAAAGCAAGGCATATAATATGAGCTTTCAGTGTCTGTGGGCTAACCTAGAGTCTTGACGGTCCCCTATCATTTTCTATCTTCCCTCTGCTGCACAGAGTCTTGCCTTGAAAGGAAATGCTATGGCCCAATTGCCTCTCAGGTCTTCCCTCAACTACACGGTGATATTATCTGGAGGGCAATAGGACCTAGGGAGGTTCAACCCCGAGGCCCAGAGAGACACACCTGCCCAAGCGTGGGTTGAGCGAGTGTGGGAGCAAGCTAGTTAGGGAGGGCGGAGTAGAAGCAGGCGTCTGCGGCTTCGTGGAAGATAATAGCTGTGGCTCCCTTTGGGGTCCGGAGTCCTGGCGAGAAGTGCTTCTGAAGATTGGTCCAAGCCCCTTTTTGTCGTGCCTCTCCACACTGAGCATCCCGCCCTGGAACTCCAAGCGGGCTTTGTTTGGCCCCAGTTGTTCCTGCCTTTTAGCCAGCCCCGGTCATCAGTGCCTCAGTTCCTGAAGCCACGGTCCTCTGACAGCTGAACTAGGACCCCGGCAGCAGATGGCACTGAAGTTTGGCGACATCTGCCCGGCCAGGTTGGCGCCCCGCACGTCGTGCTTCACGCAAGCAAACTTTTTTCGTGGGAAAGAAGCCCCTCCAGCTTTCTCTTAATCCCATAGCGCGCGCGCGCTCAGCTTCTCTTCCAGAAGACTGCGTTCAGTGACAGGGTTGTGGCCTTGCTCCGGCCTTGGGGGCGGAGCTTGCGGAATCCGAGGAGCCATCCTGAGAACCTTCGACTAAGCGTGGGTCCTGAGAGAGAACCCGACGAGAAGGCAAACTAAGAGCCACTCAGGCTGCGCCCCCTCTACTACCCTGGCTCAGTACTTGGCTGATTTGAGAGGGCACGCTGGTCAGGACTCCTCGAGAGGAGCTGCTGAGTGTTAGAGCGGCTATCCTCCTGCCTGAGGGGCGGGGGTGGGGGTGGGGGTGAGAAAGCAGGAGCCCACAGGGAAACAGCTGTCCTCATGGCCCTTCAACTGCCTGGAACTGGATTCTGGACCGGGCACAAAAATGCTTGCTTTTGCCTTGTCCAAGTTTCAGAGCACGTATGTTGACAATTGGAATCCTGAGCCAATCAAGAATTAAGTTCAAGGTGGTACTCCTGGGCTCTCCATCCCAGACTTCAACAAGTCTAATTTGAGACCAGAAGAGAGGGGTCTCCTGCTCTATTAGATCTCCGTTCTGGAATTGGACTTGACAGCTCTTCTCACCAATACTTGGACTGCAGTGGCTTCAGGGTTCTCTTAGGGGGGTTGGGAAGGGTTCTCTCTGAAGACCAGACCAAAACGCTCAGAACCTTGACAATGGACCGAGTTTATGAAATGCCTGAGGAGCCAAATGTGGATCCGATTTCATCTCTGGAGGAAGATGTCATCCGTGGGGCCAACCCCCGATTTACCTTTCCATTTGGCATCCTTTTCTCTACCTTCCTGTACTGTGGGGAGGCTGCATCTGCCTTGTACATGGTTAGAATCTATCGAAAGAATAGTGAAACCTACTGGATGGCATACACCTTTTCCTTCTTTATGTTTTCATCCATTATGGTCCAGTTGACACTCATTTTTGTCCACAGAGATCTGGCCAAAGACAAGCCACTCTCATTGTTTATGCATCTAATACTTTTGGGACCTGTTATCAGGTGAGTAACCTTTTGATCTTTTCCCACCTCCCCTCTTCCCCTTCCCCCCACCACTACCCCGAACTTGTGCAGAGAAAGATGAAGTTAATATTTACGAGACTGATACTGTGCCTCCAACTGGTTCTCTCATTTCCTCCTACTCTTGGCTTCCCTGCATACCATCCAAAAAATCTTATCTAAAGTCTTAGATGCCACCAAGATGAACATGTGACATGTACCTGTGTTCCAAAACTATGTATAGTACCATTGATACAACTAGATTAGACAATATTTGCTATCTGAATTTGGGTTGGGAAAATTGGTAGGGGTCAACTGACATGGTCACCTTGTGCACATAGGCCATACTTAACTGAAGAGTGTGTTATTTTGACTGGCTTTTAGATGCTCTATAAATTGAATGAAAGTTCCTAACCCATACATCCCATATCACATTCAATTTCTTCATCCTGAACTGCTTGGGCTGGATATTTTAAGCCATCTGTGGTCATCTGGTACCCCAGTTCACTGTAATTCATTTTTCTCTGCTAGTTCATATATTTCCTGTTTATTATCTCTTTGTATCTTTTTAAAGTAAAGGTACATGGTTAGAAAAGGGCAAAGAAAGATGGTCCATTTGTCCATCTGGATGCTGTAGCACAATGTAGTAGCATCAGGTATTTCCATTTGATTGCCTTGAAGATACAAGAATGTGCCGTATCCCAGGGAGACAGGCATCTATGTCAGCAGTCTCATCTGGATGCTATGGGATTACCCAGATAGGGAGATGTTGCAAAACTTATGAAGTCAGGAGAAAGGAATGGACCAAGTTTGTCCTGATTGCAAGAGAGGCAGAAACCTACAGTCAACCGAGGAATATGGGTCAGAGTGCTGATGTTGTAATTTCAATGGGAAGATATGTTATCCTTGTGGAAATAAACACAGTCCAAAGCTGATTAAGGATGGAACTTCCCCTTTAAAATTTTAACAATATATGTTTAAAAAGGGAGGAATTAATTAGGCTCCATAAGAGCAAATATGAGATATAAACAGAAACAGTGGCCTGGAATTCAGGAGACCTGTTATTTAGCCCTATCTGTGTCACTGACTAGTTGCATGGCCTTGATAAAATCTCTGAAGATATCTTGGCCCACAGTTTCTTTATCTGTAAAGTAAATGGGTTGTATGGGCTAGATCATGGCTCTCAAATGCTTACAGAGGCCAGGCAGGCATCACAAATTAATAAAATTGGCCATGTATGAAAAAAAACAGTAGCTTTATGTGTGATGATAAATGAAAATAAAGTTCCATGTTAAATGATGGAGAGTGGTGATGACTGTGGCAGTTGGAGTCCACATGATCTGTCTCCTTTGAAGCAGACTCTAGAGCTCCCACTCATTGTTTCCCTGTTGAAATTCAGACCCAGTATTGCCAGATCCCCCAGCTTTTCAGAAGCTCCCAACAATAGAATTTGATATGAAATACTATGATTTTAAATTTTGGCACATGACTAATAAAATAAAAACATGGTGTATGCCAAACAAATCACAGCTATTGATCAGATGTGACTTAGCTGGCCTATATCTAACCTTTGGACTAGGTAATCTAAAAAGGTCCTTTTCAGTTCTAAATCTTTGAAGTTAAGCTGTAAAAGGAAGACCTCATCAACCTAGAAGCAAGAAATTTAGAGATGTCACTAGAGGAGCATGGAATCCATTCTTCTCTCCCTTTTCAAATGCAAGATTTTGAGTTAATAGATCAAGCACTTTCAAGATGCAAATGTCAGCGAGTTCATACCAGCCCCCAGCTCTGACTTCCCCTTTTTGCTTTGTGACCTCCCAAGCCATCTTTGATTTGGACTCCACCATATGGACTGTTGAATACTATATTTTATTTTTGTCATTTAGCTTCCACTAGAAATGATTGGAAAGCACTTATAATATCAGTCAGTTAGACCCACGGCAGGGGAAAAGACAATTAAAAGTTCATAAATTATATCCTCAATATGCTTATTTTCAAGTCAAATGAATTTTTAGGTAGGTAGGAACTTGATTAATGTTATTAGGCACATGAAGGTATTTGGAGGACCCCGCTCCCTTTCAAAAATATTTTTTATGAATTTTAGAAAGAGATGAAGGGGGGGGGGGAGGGAGGGAGAGGAGAGAGGGGAGGTGGGGCGGGGGTGAAGAGAGAGAGAGAGAGAGAGAAAGAGGTGAGAGCATGAGAGAGAGAAACATTGATTGGCTGCCTCCTGCACACCCCCTACTGGGGATTGAGCCTGAAATCCAGGCATGTGCCCTGTCTGGGAATCGAACCTTTGACCTCTTGGTGCATGGGACAGTGCTCATCCAACTGAGCCACACTTGCAGGACTGGGCTCCCTTATATAAATGCAAAGATAACTTCTGGAAATGAAAATGTACTCTAATTTACTGAAGCTTATAAGCAAGGCAAACACCCTTACTTAAACCAGTAAATATCCTTAAGACTAGAAGCATAAAAGAAAATGCTTTATGCAGCTGTCACCCTCAAAATTTTACTCAGCAATAGCATTGATAAGCTTGGATTAAAATCTAAAATATTTTGTTAGAAATGCACTTAGGCATTTTCCCTGAATAGGAAGAGAATGTTGCTTTTTTCTTCTCTGTTCTCTCCTATTTTTTTCTCTCCTGGGTTTTAGAGTTTGTCCCTAGAAAGTGGGTGTTTCGACCTACATGCTTCAGGCTGTCTTACAAGCACCCATCTCAAAGGGATCCCGTGGAGAATGGGAGCTAGCACATGTTCCTCTTGGGAGCCAAAAGCCTAGGGAGCATATACATCTCTGCTTGTCTGTGGTCTATTTTTTTGTTAAATTATGCTATTATTATTATCCTCTCCTCCCATTATTTCTCACCTTGTTTTCTCTACTTCTTTCTCACTCTTTCACTTATTCAGCAAATACCCATTTGTCAATTACCCACCATGTGATAAAGGTGGTGGGCAAGATAAATAAACCCCTCTACTCCCCTCAGCCTATCAGAAAAGATGGCTTAATTTTCACAACTGCTCTTACTTATAAGGAATAGTCCACGGTTTCCATTCATTACAGGGTGAATAGAGGAAATGGTAATTCAGGTGTTTCAAAACAAGATGTTCTAGTTGCTTGTCTTCTATTCATTACATCAGAACTTCGAATGACTTCTTTATATGGGGGAGATGGAAGGGGTACAGTAGGGAATGTGGTCTTATCACTATTTCAAGGGCAGTAGGCTCTCATAAGTATGGTTCCCTCTTTGTAAAGAGATAATGGAATTTCAAAGCCTGCTGTTCCCAGACAGGTCCATAGGCCCCAAAAGCAACCCATAGAGAGATCTTTTGAGATGCCCTAGATATATAGTACATTAGGTTCTAAGTTGTCAAGTCTCTTAAATACCTTTGTTGCTAAATGGCTTTCCCATGTATGTGAGAGGTTTTCTCTAGATCCCAGTCAAGACTTGTTTAGCTGAGATACTCATAGTTGTGAGTTTTGTCTTGAAAAAGCTGAACTCAAAAGTGCCAATTATGGGGCTGAATGCTTTGAATAAGGAACACTTGACCTCAGGAACTTGAGGCTTTATGACAACCAGGGCCTTTGGAACATCATTATTCTCTCTCAACACATTGTTTACTTAATATCTTGATGTTTAAGGCACTTTCCTGCCTGTGGGCTTATTCTTAAGGAGGCAAAGCAATTCCTTAATTACTCAAAGAGACACTTTTGAAATGGTGTTCCTAGGTGGTGGGTGACTGAAAAAGAAACAAAAAGGATTTAGATTTAAGTAACTTGCAGAAGGCACCACCAACTCTTTGACTCACAAGAAATGTGTAGAATGGGAGAGAAGGAATGGCAAAAAGTAGCACTACCTCTCTGAGTTATCCCCCGCCTCCCACTAAAACCTCCCTTTCCAAGACAGCTTTAGTTAAGTTCCCATGATGCTTTACCTCTGCAGATGTTTGGAGGCCATGATTAAGTACCTCACACTGTGGAAGAAAGAGGGGCAGGAGGAGCCCTATGTCAGCCTCACCCGAAAGAAGATGCTAATAAATGGCGAGGAGGTGCTGATAGAATGGGAGGTGGGCCACTCCATCCGGACCCTGGCTATGCACCGCAATGCCTACAAGCGTATGTCACAGATCCAAGCCTTCCTGGGTTCAGTGCCCCAGCTGACCTATCAGCTCTATGTGACCCTGATCTCTGCAGAGGTCCCCCTGGGTAGAGGTGAGTAGAGTCAGGATTGGGGAGGGCTCCACTTAAATCAAGGGTCTTAGAAATCTAAAGCTGAGCTGTCTAATACACTGGCCAACAGCTTCCTGTGGCTATTAAAATGAAAAAAATTACTTTCTCAGACATATTAGTTACATTTCAATTGTTCAATAGCTATGTGTGGCTAGTGGTCACTTATTGGATAGCACATATGTGACAGACATTTCTATCATTGTAGAAAGTTCTGGGTAGCACTGGTAGATAGTCAAAGAACTTGGGAATTCAGACATCTCAGGCCTGCCACATTTCTTAGACTGAGGTAAGCGATTTAGATTAATAATGCCACAGATAAACCCTCTCTGAGCTAGTAATAAATGCTCTCAGAGGAAGCTAGTAATCCCAGCAGTCAGTAGGACATTTTCTCTAGCCTAGAGTGTTTAAATTATACTGAGGATTTTTTGTTTGTTTGTTTGTTTTCTTTAGGGATGACCATATTTAAATAAAAGGTTCCCCAATATTACTGATCATGAAATTCCTTTTTACAGTTACATTTTCTACTCAGACCCGAATCAATCTGAGTGTGGGGAGAATAGGAATCTGTATTTTTAAAAATGTATTTTATTGATTTTTTTACAGAGAGGAAGGGAGAGGGATAGAGAGTTAGAAACATTGATGAGAGAGAAACATCGATCAGCTGCCTCCTGCCCACTCCACACCGGGGATGTGCCCACAACTAAGGTACATTCCCTTGACTGGAATCGAACCCAGGACCCTTCAGTCCGCAGGCCAACGCTATCCACTGAGCTAAACCAGCCAGGGCAGGAATCTGTATTTTTTAATGCAGCCAGTTGAGTCTGATCAGACACATTTGGAAGCTAGTGATTTAATTACTTCTCCCAACTCCAGTGGGGAGAAAGAGATGGGGTGTGGAGTGAATACTGCTCAGAGTCACACCTGATCCCAGTTCTGACCTTCTCTGTGATCTTTGGAGGAAGTTACCAAAGAGGTCCCTGTCTTAATTCCCCATTTGTAAAAGAGAGATCCTGAGATGAGTAATAACTTTGGCAGAGGATGAAATATGAATTAATGTTTTCAAAGTTGAGATAAGGTACTGTTAATGACTTTTAATAGCCTGAGATTAGCTTCATCTGCTTGGGCTGGAGCTGCTACAGCTGTGGGTATAATTTTGGATCATTTTCTTATTATTAGGTACTGACCCTGCTTGGCAAAGCCCATGTCTCAAATAAGTGTAAGGAGAAAAATTTCCCTCTTTCGTATTTTTCTCCATTAAGAATTGTTCACGAAGTTCTATTGGTCTTGAAGCTTTTCATATATGTAGAATGTACAATAGTGGGAGGAGAAAAGAATGCTAATAATGCTTTTCTTCCTGAAAATTTTCAGTGTTATCAAATCATCTAATTAAAATATGTATATGTTACAAAAGTAATACACACACAAATCAATTGACCAGGTAATTGTATATGCAAAGAAGAATTTATGGAAAAATATGCAAGAAACAATTTACCTCTGGGGAGTGGAAATGAGTCAGCCAACTTTTACTTTTTACTTTATACCCTTCTACTAGTACAGTGGTTCTCAACCTTCTGGCCCTTTAAATACAGTTCCTCATGTTGTGACCCAACCATAAAATTATTTTCGTTGCTACTTCATAACTGGAATGTTGCTACTGTTATGAATTGTAATGTAAATATCTGATATGCGGGATGGTCTTAGGCGACCCCTGTGAAAGGGTCGTTCGACTGCCAGAGGGGTCGCGACCCACAGGTTGAGAACCGCTGTACTAGTATATAGTTTGAAATTGTTATCATGATCTTGTTTTATTATTTTGGGTCCTTATTTTAAAAAAAAATTAAGGTAATATTATTTTTATCCTTATTTTTTAATTATAAAAATCTGATAAGGTAAAGACTCAAAACCATACAGGATATATATATATAAAAGAGGAGATGTAATCTCACTTCCAAAAGGGAATCTCTGTTAATCATTCAGTATATATCCTTCCAGACTTAATTTTATTATCTATAATAATAAAAGCATAATATGCTAATTAGACCAGATGTCCTTCTGGACATCCTCCCGGATGACCTTCTGGATGAAGCAGGGGCTGTAAGGGAAGCTCGGGTCCCGGGTGCCAGAGGGAAGCCAGTGCTGGCAACCGGGGAAAGGAAGGCCTACTCTTCCATGAATTTCATGCATCAGGCCTCTAGTGTAAATATAAACATACGTACAACATATTCATGTATGTATGTTTTAGCCAAAAAAAGAACTGCATTAAACATTCTGTTAAGCAGAGTCTTTTTCAAAAGTGAACCAGTATGTTTTTCTTCAACAATTATTTATACATACACATATAATAATAATAATGCCCTGACCAGTGTGGCTCAGTGGATAGAACGTTGGCCTGCGGATTGAAGGGTCCCAGGTTTGAGTCCAATCAAGGGCGTGTACCTTGGTTGTGGGCGCATCCCCAGTAGGGGGTGTGCAGGAGGCGGCTGATCGATGCTTCTCTCTCATCCATGTTTCTAACTCTCTGTCCCTCTTCCTTCCTCTCTGTAAAAACTCAATAAAATATATTTAAAAATAAAAAAGGTAAACCCCTTAAAAAAGAAAAAAAAGATGCTCCCAATCTATTAAAAATAATAATAAAGATAAGTATATAATATATATTTTCCTCATATGAATTGGACCATTCTTTCTTATTTCCCCAGTCTTCTTTTGGTAGGATTGAAGTTTGTTTCTAATTTTTCATGCAAAATATTTTTCTAATTATAAATTATGCTCCCATGAACATCTGTGTACTGGAATGAAACTTTGTATGATAAATCCTGAGCAGTAGAACTTCTGGGTAAAAGGATATGCATGTTTAGAATTTTGTCAGTATTGCCAAATATCGCCCCCCCCAAAAGATTGTATGCATTTATATTCTCACCAACAATATATGAATGTGCTTGGTTCTTCATATCTTAAGCTAAATATTATTTAGTTGTATAATTATAAAATAACTTATTTTAAGACATAATTTGCATTATTTATTAGAATGAAGCTCTACATCTTTTCATGTTTGGTCATTATGTTCTTTAAATTGCTTATTTACATATTTTAGTCACTTTTTCTAGTGGTTTATCTTTTTATTTATTTATAAGAGCTATTTATATATTCTGGCTATTAATCTTTTATCTGCTCTGGATAAGTATGTATGTGTACATGTGTAT